CCTTCCTTCCTTCCTTCCTTCCTTCCTTCCTTCTTTCCTTCCTTCCTTCCTTTCTTCCTCCCTCCCTCCCTCTCTCCTCTCTCTCCCCACTCTCTCTCTTCCATGCCTTCTACATGCTCATTTCTAATATCATTTTTCCGTGGTCAACACCCCCCCCCAAAAAAAAGCTGGCACACCAGTATATGCACATTTAAACCCAGATGGAAGTGACGTCACAGCTGTCACGTTAAGGTGCATGAAAGGAAACATCTTGGCAGACGTATGAACCACTGGAAATCTCGGGGTGCTGTGTGTGAGGTCAGGGGTTTGAAGTCCCACCGGAAGATAATGGTGGCACGTGTCCTGGGGTGAGGCCATCGTCCCTGCACAGGACTGTGTGGTGATCGACCTATGGGGAGCTGTTCCTTTTTACTGAAACTCCTGTCTGTCCAGCGCTTACAGGGAGCGGTCACTGGGGCTCGTTTGTGTACTGTCCTGGTCCGCGGCTCACCGCCTGTGCGGGTGTTCCGGAGAACAGGGTCAAGCCGCTCGCCTCACACGGGGACATCGGATACGGCTTACCCTGCGCTGTCCCCTTATGGGCAGCATTTTGGCTTCTTCTTGTCACCTGGACCATTGAAACGGCTCCCTGGGGACAAGGAAACCGTCTGCACGAGCGACGCCCTCTGAGGCCCTGCTCATCCACTGACAAATCCTTAAGTCACCGGAGCCTGCCCATCAGCTCAATCCTCTGCCTGTTAAACCAGCTGCCACTGAAACGTTACCTCTTACTTACTTACCTTTCAAATGGCACTTCGTACTGCACATTAAATGAAGTTCTGAGTGACGTCCTTTAAAGACGACCTGAGTCATTCCAACAACCTTTACAAATGAATTAGGAAAACTCGCAGCATCGACACCTCTAAGTCTTACTTCAGCTCTGCTGCACCCGGGCTGCAGAGGAAAAAGAGCTCCGCCTTGGATCAAGCGCGGACTCTCCCGACGAACACCCCAGGCCCCCAGCATCTCCATCTCACTCCCTGAGTGCGACCTCTACCTGAACCGGGGGATTCCCGTCGGATGGGGGCTATTCTTTCTCCAGGTCTTTGCCGCTTCCCCATCTGCCCCAGCCACATTCCGGAAGCCAGAAGCAGTGTGCATGCACACCACTCGCGGCCACGTGAGCACATCCGGCCAGCGATGTAAGCCTCGGCTATTTCACGTGCCCACATGTTAGGGGACTTTAGGAAAATGGAGAGGTGGCATTCAAGAGCGCTCAGGCACAGCACAGCGGGCTGCGTTCAATCCTGGCTCAGTCCTTGACAGGGGAAGGTGCGCACCTGGGTGTTAGCACGTCTTAGCCACCTCGTGAACACCTATGTCTTTTATCTCTTTCTTTCTCTTCCTTTAAACAACGAGAGAATCTCAGCTTCAGAGCCTCCGGCGGGCAGAAGAGCTAACGGGATTTTAATGGCCCTGTTTGGATTTCACATTTTTTGATGCCTCCGTTAAATCGATGACGAATGACCCTGGCTTTCGATTGCGGAAAATCGTGTGAAGTCTGTTGCCAAAACATGTGAGGGGAAAATATGTGGTTTTGGGCAAAGCGAGTGAGGATGTGGTGCTCAGATCTTAAGAATGATGTGTTTGGATGGCAGAGTGTGAAGAGGATGGATGGCCACGATTTGGCAAATGCCATGTAACTCTTTTTGCTTTGAGAGAATGCAGGATTGCAAGGGTAGACGTCAAATATATTCTGTGACAGAATAGGGCATGGTCCCGCCTATCTATCTATCTATCTATCTATCTATCTATCTATCTATCTATCTATCTATCTATCATCTATCTACCTATCATCTATCTATCTATCTATCTATCTATCTATCTATCTATCTATCATTCATTTGTCTATCATCATCATCTATCTATCCGTCATCTATCTCTACTATCTATCACCTATCTATCCATCTATCTATCATCTATTTACCTACCTATCTTACCTACCTATCTATACCATCAAACATCTATCTTCTATCTATCATATATCTATCTATCTATTATCTATCTATCTATCTATCTATCTATCTATCTATCTATCATTTATTTGTCTATCATCATCATCTGTCTATCATCATCATCTATATATCCATCATCTATCTCTACTATCTATCAATCACCTATCTATCTATCTATCTATCTATCTATCTACCTATCTATCTATCTATCATCTATCTACCTACCTATCTTACCTACCTACCTATACTTATCAAACATCTATCTTCTATCTATCTATCTATCTATCTATCTATCTATCTATCTATCTATCATCTATCTATCTATCCCTCCACCTATCTGTCATCTATATGTCTATCTACAGGCAGACCTCAGAGATATTGCCAGTTGTGTTCCAGATCATTGCAATAAAGCTAATATCTTAAGTAAAGTGAGTTACATGCATAGTTTGGTTTCCCAGTGAATATGAGAGTTACGTTTACACTATGCTGTAATCTACTGACTACATTGTGTGCAAAAAATGTGTATATTTGAATTAAAAATACGTTACCGCTAAAAAAATTGCTAAGCGTTATCCGAGCCTGAAGTGACTTGGAATCTTTTTGCTGGTGGAAGGTCTTACTTTAAAATTGTAAAAAAAAAAAAAAAAAAAAGAGTATCTGCAAAGCTCAACAAAGCAAAGCACAGTAAGACGGGGTGTGCCTGTGTGGGTACGCATGCACGCAGACACACACACATGTAGCAGCTCTCTACAGTTAGTGTGAGATCTACTTCATTCCTGCGGCTACACCATAAGCACAAATTACCATGTACCACATGCGTTTTGATAACCCTATTTTTTGTTTTTACCAAATAAGACATGATCCTATTTAGATTTGAAACCCCTCGATCAGCTTTCAATAGAATTGCCAAATATGCCTAAATCCTACACCAACAGCTACAAATTTGAAACCCCATGATCAGCTTTCAATAGAAATGCCAAATATGCTTAAATCCTACACCAACAGCTACAAAACAGAATTTTCAGCATGCAGCTGGCATCGCCATAAAAATCTGGTTTGACAGAGAGTGACTTAGGGGTAAAGAAAAGACACAGTCTCCATGGATGGAGAAAAGTGACTATTATCGCGCGTGTGTCCGTGTGTGCGTGTGCGTGCTTGCGTGTGGTCATGGACATACAGCTCGCAGCGGGGAGCCTGACACGCTGAGGGCTGGCCGTACCCTGGGTGGGGGAGAACATACCCGGTTTTGGCGAAATTCGTCCAGTAGGTCATGACCACTGCGCTGAGCATGACGTCGTTCTTGGAGAAGTTACAGCTGAAGAGCTCTGTAGGGCCAATCATGGGGATCCCGAAGACGTAGGGGACTTCGTCGCCGTGAGCCGAGTCGGCCCAGCTGGGCTTCATTTCGCTTTGGCAGTGGTGGTAGAATGCGTAGAAGTAGGTGGGCGAGCCATACTGAGCGTGCAGGTCCGCCGTGGCCACGGCAGGGGCCACCCACTGGTGGTCCGTAAACAGAGCCACCAGGGTCTTCCGCCGCGTCTCGGGGTTCTCCTTGTCTGCCCAGTCCGTGTACATGAACTTGATGGTCTCCCGCAAGGTGTCCTTCCCCTCCGGATAACCGTAGAGGTTGTCCACGAAGTTGGACACGGAGAAGTCGAAGTCGTTGGGCGTCACGCCGTCCTCATTGTCCACGATGCCGTCTACGAACTTCAAACCTTCGCCCTGGTTGACGCCCAGCATGATGTCGTAGTTCAGAAACTCACCCTGCTCCATGAGGATCTGAGGGTCGTCCGGGATGACGTCCCCGTCGATCACGGGGCCGAATGAGATGTGGTACGTGGCCGGGGTGATGGTCTGCTGGATGAGCTCCTTGTAGTTCTTGTTCCGAAGGCACTCCACCATGTCTGTCGTGTCCAGCATGTTACAGCCGACTTTGTCTGCCAATATCCGAGTGTACTTGGCAGGTTGGTAGTTCACTGCCCAGCTGGACAGGGCGGTCCCACTCTGGATGATCGCCTTCTGGAACAGACCTGCAGGTGCAAAATTGTGGACATGCAAATGAAAGGCCGGGAGATAGAAAAGCAGCTTTTACTCAGCGAAGAAGGCTCTGATTGTCTCGCGGGCATCTGAATTTCTGCCGTGCTGGCTCTCAGCTCACTCAGCGTCTCTTTCTCTCCTTTCTCTCTCGTTCTTCCCACATCCCCCTCCTGCACATCGGTTTTATGGGATGCTCTCTTTCTCTCTCTCTCTCTCTCTCTCACACACACACACACCACAAATATTGTTCAAGAAAATTACCCTTTAGATGCCGTGGTAAAAACATTCACTTTTTCTCCTTCCACGATTTGGGATAATGTTTGCTTCTCCACCCCAGATGCTATCAACAAAAGCCTGTCACAGTCACTACGTCCTCCACTCCCTAAAAATATGCTTTGCATCAAGGAGAAGGTCAAAGACCATTTTGCCTCATTGAAAAAAAAAAAAACCCAAAAAAACAGGTACCACTTCATCACGGGAAAGGACAAATCTACTGAAATCAGTTTCGGAGCATAAATGCAGAGATGTATTTCTATTTCCGCCCTCAATAAATTGGAGGGGTTTCAATTTTGCAATTAAATTAATGGAATTCGCCGTTCCTAAAGAAATCCTCACTTGAATGCCCAACTAAAATGTATTGGAAAAAAAAAAAAAAAACTATGCCCCATCCATTTCAAAATGGCATCCATTTGAATCCCAGAATTCTGTATAATTGATTCTGCCACATTTTAAAAACATCTGTTTGGTGAGACACTTGAAAAACCTCGGGCAATTTCAGGAGTAAAATCTGAGGAGTTAAATCACGCGTAGCTTAAAAGACATCCCATTGCATCCATCAGTCTAGTACCTGACTGTCCAGAAGTAGAAAAACAAACTTTATTTTAACTCTTGTAGGACAAGGGATGGAAGGCTATAAAAATTACTGTATTCCTGCCATTTCCTTGGATTCTGACACAATCCAGTTCTGATGCATCACGAGTTGCTACAAGATAAAAGCTTGAGCTGGGGATCCAGAAGTTCGTGCCTGCTGGACATGTAAGCTCACGCAAGCCATCAAGGCTGAGGACAACCTGACCGCAATTAGGAAGCCGCAAATCTAGAGAGGGAAGAACTGCCCAAAGATGACACAATATTGAGACGACATCGGTCTGGCTTTGCCCAGGACATCGCCAACGTCATCCGGGGACTGCCGTCCCAGGGTTTATAATTTTGTCTGAAATGTGTAAGTGTTGACTTCTGTAGTTGGTTCTAAAGGCTAATGTTTTACAGCACCTGCAGGAAATGATGTTGAAACTTGATCTGTTGAAGTCATTCACGAGTTGAAACAATGAAAACTAGAAAAATGGTGCTAGAAGCTACTTTCCATCCTCTAACACATCTATTGGCCACAGTTGAGGTAGCAGTGTGTGTGTGTGTGTGTGTGTGTGTGTGTGTGTGTGTGAAGTTCTATATCGATTATACCTCGATTTCGAATCATGGAGAGGAAGCTGAGTTAAAAGAAGAGAATGTGGACACATGACATTTTGGAGATGGGGGCTCATGTCTCGGTCACGGGGGTCACAGGTCCAGCAGAGGAATGAATACCTTCATTACCTTCCGAATAGTGGGACAAGGTCAAGAGACTGACGCACGAGGCCCCTGCCCCTGAGCCGAAGATGGTCACCCGTTTCGGGTCACCGCCGAAGGCCCCGACATTCTCTTCGACCCACCGCAGGGCTTGGATCTGGTCCAGGAGCCCGTAGTTGCCCTTGGCCGCCTGGTCGCCGGTACTTAAGAATCCTACGAAAGAACACAGGATATTTTGGGTCGTGGACAATCAAAAGCACACCGACGTCACCGCTGTTTGACGTACACCCCGTCCGCTCTTTTCTACCCGTCAGAAGCGATGGCATTTTTCATGGCGGAGGGTTATATTACACAAATCATGGTCATCACGGTGACCGTTTCTGTTGACCCTATGATAAAATGTCTCATCGCTGGGTTTGTATGGAGCCCACTTGTAAAGCAAGATAAATCTAAAACGTTTATAATGTGTGACAATAACAGACACTACCATTTTACTAGATTCGAGGGTATCATTCCGGTGCGTACGTCGGTTTTCCTTGGCAAAATGAAAAATACTCTTAAAAAAAGTTTATCGGGGAAAATAGAAGTTGCACATGGTGGGGTATGGTGGGAGGGATTTGCATTGCTATCCACGTGTCAGACTGTGCACATGGGTACAAAGGCAGTACACGTTACCTTTTTCCCATTAAATTTCTTATTAATATTTTATCTCCTTTTAATGTTTACATTTCAAAGAAAATGAGACATAATGACATCGCACTCTTAAATACCTTAGTAGGCACCTCTGTTTCTCTCTGTAGAAAATACATCACGGTTACACGCAAACGCTTATAATTCTTTACTCTCGGCCGAAAGCCAAATAGCATATTCGAAAATCCATGACTACCCCCAAAATAGTATGAGCTGGTACACGTCACTTTGAAAAGACGGAGGATTCTGTAAATTGAGAAACGAGACTTTGCTCAAGGTGTCAGATTCTTCATTCCTCTTTAAAAGCTGCCGATCAGGCAATCTGGGTGTTTATCGTAGCGAAGGCATCTGTTTTCAGCGTCCACCTCATCTCCTGTTCCTCTTGGGTCACAGAGGATGGTAACCTACTATCTGAAGTCCTCGTATTAAGAGACACACGCTCTGCTACTCAGATTCAACTCTCTGAATATTTTCCGAAGCGCCCCCTCGATTGAATTAGCTGCACAAACTTTAATCCAACTTTATATCCCAAATCTGGACTGGATAAGCCTTCTTAACAACAACAGAAATAGTCCTAATGCGCTTTCTCCATTTGCCATTTTTATTTGCTTCTCCCCGCACCCCAAATGCCCCATCGTGATCTTTCTCCTTTCTGCACCATTTCTTTAGTCCAAGGGCGATGCCATCCTCCCCTCTCCCCAGTTCATGCGTATTATTAAGTTCCGATGGCCACCTGCTGCAGTGTTGCCACGAACACGGAATAATTCATGCCCTAAAATCACATCGGCCAGAGTACATGCCTTCAAACATCCCCAAGCAGCGTTATCCCAGAAGCGCTCACGTGACAGCTTCTCAGGGCTGACACAGACTCGGGAAGGATGAGGCCTTCTACCAGGAGGGCATCGTAAATGGAGGGGCCGGTCGACAAGAAAACAACGAGAAAGCTGTTTTGGGTTTTGTTTGTTTGAAAAGTACAGACAGCAGGACACAATCTCCTGGACCTACAAACAGCTCCGAGGTGATGGTACCTCCATCAAGTCCGGTCCTCCCGAAACTGCCTGGGGACTGACTGTGACAATAGCTGTGATGAGTAAGCACGTTGCCAACCTCCCTCCTTCCATCGGCTACTCCTCCTTAGTGTTCCCTGCCAGCAAGCGAGCTGCGGCCCCGGCATTCATCACTAACGCTTTCGCACGGTTCCTCAGAAAACGAGTCCCTTTGCTTAGATGGAAAGCCTCTCTTCTCGCAGTTTTTATGTGTACGACGGGCTGATGGGGCCAGGAGAGGAGCCGGTCCCCCCGTTAAGGGAGGAGGTGATTCATTTCTGAAGGCTCTTCTAATTTCAAAAAACTCCACACAGCCCGCCTCTGCCAAGCCCTTGCCCAACACTTTGCAAAATGACCTACTTGATTCCTTTGCTTCTGCAGAGCAGGAGGAGGATCTGCAACACGAGGTAAGTCACTGGTTTAGGAAAACAGGACTCTGGTCACCTCTCGAACGGCAGGCTACTTAATATTCTGCACCCAGGCAAATCTGAGTTCTCAGAGCATCCTATTGAGAGGTTTGATTCTTGCGACTCTGGATTCTTTGCAGAAATCCAGCCAGAAAGAGCCCTCCATGAGCCTCTGAAGTTTACTGAATGAACATTTTTTTTTTTTCTTTTGGAACTGATGTTTCCATAGTTTCCGCCTCGGAATCTTCACTTCCTTCCATATCCAGGGATTTTTTTTTTCCCCTTCCCTTTTAAACAATCAATGAGGCAGAGTGTCCACTGCAGGTGCAGAATGAATACAAGCAATTTTATGTCCTCTTGAGGGAGCACGTTCTTGTTCTATCCTGATTGTGCAAATATGGTCGTACGTATCATCCAGACATGGGTCGACAGGCATGAAATTCCACACACACGTGAGAGCAGCTGATCAATTTGGAAACATACACATACGCCAGTGAAGATGAACACAGCACGTGACTGTCCATCTATGCCCTGAATGAGTGGACCGTCCCTTCCAGCTCCAAACTCTCTCCGCATTTCAGCTGATGAAATATTCGGTGTCTCAGATTTTTCTGTCTCTGAAATGAAGCTTGTAAATAAATCAACCTCTGCCCCAAGTCATGGAACAGTGAGTGAGAGATATGAAAGAGACAGGATTCAGACATATTAGAGACTAGAGGGACTCCGAGTTCCAGTCAAAACGCTGGAAGGAACGAAAAAAAAAAAAATATATATATATATATACCCATGAGCGGAGTGTTCAGGGCTGTGTGGTGACTCTGAAACATAGTTCATGAGAAAGATGCCTAAAAAACAGAAATCACATTTCTTCCTGCATGGTGAATGACATAGATATGATGTAAAAATAGACGTTGTATCTGGTCTTAATATCACTGCTAGATTAGAAAGGTTCAGGTTTTGATGACAGGTAATCACGTCTAAACGTTTCTTGTTTTTTTTGATTTGGACCAGGGGCTTTAGGTCACATGGCTTTGGAGGCACTGAAGGTCAGCGGTGATAAACCCACTGGGGTCAGGTGCGGTGGTCCCTTTGTTCATCCGTAACAGGACTTTAAAGCTCCAATCCTTCTTCCTTTAGAAAATAGTTTATTATGCAAGCACGGTAGGCATTTTTGGGGGGTGACCATTAACCAGAAGATAATTGCTAAGTGAAAATAGAAGTATTTTTCGCAATTTGACTATACTAAACTGTAATTTATAGAATTAATCTAGCATCTGAAATGTACTTTCAAAAGAAATATATATGTATATACATGCAAATATATATGTATATATGAAAATATATATATACTCTCACCAAATGACCTATTTGCTTATTATGTTTTTGCTGTGTAGAGTGAGAATTTGCAACATTATGTATGCATGCATAATATATATGTATTTATATACATATATACATGCCTTTGTGTATGTGTATCTATCTATCTATCTATCTATCTATCTATCTATCTATCTATCTATCTATAGATATACACTAATTTAATTGAATCTATCTATCTATCTATCTATCTATCTATCTATCTATCTATAGATATACACTAATTTAATTGAATAAAAGCAAAAGAGGAACTGTTTAAATAAAAACTCTTCAATGAAAATGGATAAAGTTTACTTTAGGTCACATAAATGAGCCTCCCAAAAGAAATCTGATGAGAATTAGAGCAGAAGTATAAAAATGAAAACCAGTCAAATAAAGATACATTTATATTCTTTGATGTTTATAAGAAATCACTTGCCGGGTGCATTTCTTATAAGATGAAAGTTGAATTTCGGGACTGGAATCATTTACGGCTGAGCAAAGGGCATACATTATAAAGGATGGAATGCGTGGTAGAGAAGAAAAGGCATATATATTCAAATTCTACCGTCTTGACGAGTAAAGCTGATTGAAATTTAGTGTCTCTATTTTTGGTTGCTTTTTTTCTTCACTTAAAAATGACTTGAGTGATAACTGACGATCCTACTATGCCACGTAATTACCACCTTAGTATTCCACAGGGTCAAATTCTATTTCCAATGTCTGTAGAATAAATCTAAGGCAGTTCTGAAGGATGCGTCATTCCTATTGCACAGTTCTACAAAGTTAGGGACCATTAAATTATTAATGGGATTCATAAAATGTATGATACCTCCGCACAATTATTTAGAATGAGGCTGCACAGGTGTTTTCAAGTACTTTAGTCGAAATTATATTCATTTACAAAGCTGAAACCGGTCACGTTTTAGAAACAAAATAAAAATTCATCAACACAGTTTCTTGATTATACGATATAGATCAAAATGTGAAGATAACAGGTAAAAAGTTTCACAGTGATAAAAATTTGGGGATGGCCAATCTGGAGCCGAATCCTGTTTGAGCCAATTTTATTATTTTTTAAATTTTTAAAAAGTTTTTCAATTATAGCTGGCATACAATAATATATTAGTTTCAGACTAGATGTTTATAACTAAGTTATATCACTGAAGTCACTCCCCCCACCGGTTAGTCTAGCCCCCCCCCACCTGGCCCCACACATGGTTACTACAATATTATTGACTATATTCCTCATGCTGGATTTCACATCCCAATGAAATGAATTAATAAGAAGTAGAAACTGGTAGTTACCCTTTGAGCCAACTTTAGATTATTTTGATTTTTTTTTTCAATTACAGTTGACATTCAAAATTATATTCATTTCAGCTATAAAGCATAATGGTTAGACGTTTATATAATTTATGAAGCGATCCCCATAAATGAGAGAAGATATTAGCCCATGATAACCTGATAAGGGATTAATATCTAAAATATATAAAGAACTCATGTAACTTAACACCAAAAAACAACCCGATTGGAAAATGTGCAGAGGACCTGAATAGAAAGTTTCTCCAAAGAGGACACACAGGTGGCCAATAGACATATGAAAAGATGCTCAACATCAAACATCACTCATCATCAGACAAATGCAAATCAACACCACAATGAGATATCACTTCACACCTGTCAGAATGGCCATCATCAATCAGTCAACAAA